GGATCGCCAGAGCCCCGCAGGTCGAGGCTGGGTGACAGAGTGAGACTCCAACTCAAAACAAACAAACAAAAAAAGAAGGTGGTCTTATTATCATTTCCATGGCTTCAGTCAGCTAAAGGGTGATCTTTGACCTTCCACCTTCACCTTATAAGGAAACTCAAAGTTTCTTAGAATTATGCTAAACTATGAATTGAAAGTTGGGCTGTCCTTGTCATGCATATGATGGAGATTTGCCAAGGGGGTGGGGTAGACTGTCAGTTTGGCCTGCAGAAAAATGTCTGAGAGCTTCCTAAAACCTGCCTATTGGAAATTTATCAATCTACGTCTAACCTGTGCTAAATTCAAAGCGTGTCAGTCTAAGCAAAAATGGTTATGCTGAGGCAAAATGTGAGCTAAGTTTATTCTAAGTTTCTCGGGGTCCCTCCTTTCAGTTGCCAACTAAAGAAGCACTTATGTGCTTCAGAAGTGACCCATCCTGACCCACAGGTGCCATTGAACCAGTTGCCAGGTGGGGTACAGCTCAAAACTCATGGATCTGTTATGGTCTGAATAAACACTAGGCTGCTGTCTCTTGACGCCAATAAATTGAAAAGCAGGGAACGGGCAGAAAGAAGTTTCTTTCTGAATTCAGAATTCATGGAGACAGAATCTGGCTCCTGGTGTTTCTGGAACCGGTCTGCTCACCCCTTCGTTTCCACAGTCTGTTTTTATAAGTTTAGGTTTCTGGTACTTATACATTGACTACGTGGCTGACAGAGCATCGTACTGAACTTAAGCTACAGCCACATTTTGTCAATAGTAGCAGTTATGATCTGCATTTCTTGGTGCTAGCTACTAAAAGGTAGCTCACAGTGTTATTGGTGACACCAAACTGAAGAGTTGATCAAGCTTGCCATAGAGTAGGGAGTTAACAGAGCCTATTACAAAGTAAAACATTGTTCACTACTACATATTGTTGATCAGTAGTGATAATCATGTAAAAGGTGGCTGTGTGTGGTGGCTCACGCCTATAATCCCAGCACTTTGGGAGGCCAAGGTGAGAGGATTGCCTGAGCCCAGGGGTTCAAGACCAGCCTGGGCAACTTGGCGAGACCTCATCTCTACAATAAATCAAAAAATTAGCCGGGCACAGTCACGCACTCCTGTAGTTGCAGCTACTTGGAAGGTTGAGGTGGAAGGATTGCCTGAGCACAGCAGGTCAGGGCTGCAATGGCCGTGAACAAGCTGCTGCACTCCAGCCTGGGTGACAGAGTAAGACTCTGACTCAAAAAAAAAAAAAAGAAAAAGAAAAAAGATAAGCAGGTTTGCTATCTGTATCAGAGCCAGGCTGGAAAGTTAGGTCACTATATCAGTTAATGAGATTTTATGGCCTGTAGAGTGTGGCTTAACCCTTGCCTTGCATGGTCTTATGTCCTGTGTACAGTTTGGTATCTTACTGCCACAGAAAGACTGTTTTGTCATTCTCATGATCTCTGTTTTAACCTTAATGCTGGTCGGTTGTGCCTGAAATCCAAAGGGGAGGGATATCACGAGGTGTTTCCACCTCCCTTCCCATCGTGGCCCGGAATTCGGTTTTTCAGGTTTCTGTGGGCAAGAGGGCGTCTCCCCAGGATTACATGCACTCTCTGGAGAAAGCCAGGGAAAGAGGGAAGACAGGCAGAGCAAAAGGTGTGTAACGTGGTAACCTCATATCTGAGAGTGCTTGCGTGTCATGTTGATCTATTCTAAAGAAGTCAGTTGGAGGTCCAGCAGGGAAAGACACGGGTTTACTAAAACTTACAAGAGGCACCAATGGCGACCTGTCAGTGAAGAATTTGCACCTCAGGACAGTACAACAAGCAGTTTTATGTTTTTT